CATGAGGTCAGGCGGGGGGAGGCACGGGGTGGGCACTGGGAAAGGGAAGTCAAATGACAAAACCCAAATATTCTTGGCTCCTGTGAAAAGCTACTCTGTTCATTACCCGGAAGATCCAAACAAAAGCAGCTGCCCATTTCTCTGTTTCAGTTTCCTGAACATAACTGGATCACCAACCAGCATCCCTTGTCCCAGGCTCACAGAACAATGTCCACCAGCATAAATCCGTCAGCTCTGGTACACATCCAGAGAGCTACAGCAGCAGCAGGAGAATGAATGAGTGTCTGTCCACCCCGCCCTGCGCGGGCACGCTGTCACCCTGGGACCTGTGTGCGGGAGGCAGCACCTCCTCCTGACACCAGGGCAGGCTCCAGCCTGTCAAGACACCAGGCCAAGGTGCCAGGCAGGGTGTCCTGACAGCACACATGTGCGGTGTCTGCAGGCACCAGGTGGCCTCTGGTGCCCAAAGGAATATCCTCGGGTACTCAGTGAGTGAAAAGTGCAGAGATCAAAACCCCCAGGTGGGAAGCTGTGAACTACCGGGCCCACCTTCCACCTACTTTGAGGCAATCCTTAGTAGATGGCAGCTGCTAACTCAGGGGGAAAAAAGTGCAAGGTGGAGGAGGCAAGGGGGTTATTTTTAAGAAAGAGCACAATCCGACTTTTCTCTCTACCGCCCACCACACACCACCTCCGCATCCCCATCTCTCCTCCTGCCTGCTCTTCCCCAGCCTCTCTCCTGCTCACACGCATTCCCTCCTCTGTGGGCCCAGATGCCACATGGGACCTGCAGCTGGCCAGGGCTTGAGCTGCTGCAGAGCACAAATGCTGCAAACTCCAATGAACCCAACTCATGTGCCTTTGAGAGGCCCCTTCTAGACACCAGCGCTGTGGAGAAATAGAAAGGTCTCTGTTCTCCAGCTCAACAAACCTGTTAATTATGCCATCTTCCTGCTAATCTCAGGACTGGGAGATACGTGGTCTATTTCATCTTAGAGGTGCCGTTTCTTACACAGTTCTGTGCCTCGGGAGGTCAGCTGTGCACCAGTGCTGCCCAGGTGGGGCCCTGAGCATTTGTAAGTGTTCACAATGAACCCACGTGCCGTATTGATCAGCTTCTTCCCCTGCCTCTGGTAACAATCAGCTTCACATACTCCAAAGTCATCTACTCAGACCAAAAGTACCACGAGGGTAATAGCTGCAATAATGAGGTACTTTCCAAGGTGGAAAAATTTAAAGTTAGGACCAGCTTTTACATGATGTGGGGGGAAGCCAAGCAGGGAAACAGAAAGTTCTGTATGAAGCTTAAAGACAAGAAAATCAGCCAGGCTGTTATCTAGAATGTGGCACATAGTTAGACCATAAAAGCAGTATTTGTGTTCCTCTTTGGAGTCCATTCGTCGTTATTCCTCACTGAACCTGCTCTCAGCACAGACTATGTTCTGGGCAATGCGCAGGTACTGAGCAAAAACCATGCTCCTTACTCTCCTGGCAGGCACAATCCAGCATTATCGCAGCAGAAAATTCCAGGCTGTAAGAGCAGCCAGCTGAAACATTTATTATAAAGGAAACTAGTGAGGAGCTGAAAAACTAACATTAGGGAACTCAGATTAGTATAGTGAGGAAACGCCTCTCTGACAAGGTCAAATTTAACAAGTGAACGATAAAAAGGAGAAAAGCTCATAGCACAAGAGCAGGTAATGCTCTTAAGAAGGCAGGTTCCCCAGGGCAGATGCCCTGAGCTAGGAAAGGTTTGGGCACCAAGAACTTAAAAAGACTGGAATAAGGAGAGAATGAACAGCTAAAGATCCTGGGCAGGGTGTCCAGCTCAGGTCGTGTCCTGACATCAACAGGCAGTTTGCACCTGTGCCTGCCTCAGCATCCCCACACTGCATCTGTGCACAGAGGCTTCACAAGCAAAGCCTGTTCTGTGGTCTGAGCACAAAATGAAAACTCCCTGAACCAAAATGAAGCACCAAAACTGAGGGAGACTAGACAGCTTCACGGTTTAAAAGGGGGAGCAACAAAGTCACTATAAAGATAGAAGCAAGGGAAGAAAAAGATGGCTCACATCAAGCTACCTTCCACAGGTGAGGTGCCTGAAACTTTTTTCAGAAGGAAGTATAAGCATCATAGGATGTGCCGTGGCCCATGTGGGGCTACCGACCACAGACACGCTACATCTGCAGATATCAGTAGCTCAAACTCCCCTGGTGCAGGAACGACGGCAGTGTGTGGCTGTTCCTGAGAAACCGTATTGGCGATGTCAGGCTGGTACTGCAGCAACCGACTCCTCTCCTGTCATCGTGGTGTCAGAGCCCTAGGAATAACCTTCTCTATATCTGGGTGTAGCAATTCTGACTTTTAAGTAGACCTGCCCCAGATAAACCAACTACTAGTCTTCAAGGTAAACAGCAGAGAAAATAACCATATCAAATTGGGTGCCTCACATCAAATATTTCAAAGGCATATTACAGTATCATGCACTGACCAGCGGGAAAAAACAATTGCAAAATGCAAATTTATAAATGGTATCATTATGGTATCTGGTCCTTAACAACTGTCTTTCTATCGAACTGCTGGGAAACCTAGCCTGCAGTGTAAGCAACACCCCCAGGGAGATTTCCAGGGTTTACCATCAACAATCTGCCTTGTTTATTTTACACACTGCTCACCAACGTGTTCCCAAATGCCAGAGAGCAGCACTGTTCCGTGGTGGCCACATTCCATCTGTGCATTCCTAATTACCCAGGTGCTTCCATCACCTTCCTGAAAAGCTGGTACACGGTTAGCGTCTCAGACTCCTTCACCCAGTGGTCTAGGTGGGCCCCTCTCTTTTTCAGCACTTGCTATTAAGTTGTAGCATGAAATGTGACTCATGAACGAGATCAAGAGCACAGTCCCCTGTTCCCAGGCAGAAGGCCTCCTGACACCAGCTCAGGCCTGCTAAAAACAGACATAAAAAAAGGTAACTCATAATGGTTTGGAAGGTGATGTTAAGTATGCCATCTTCCTGATAAGCTCAGTGGCTCCACACCATTAACTGTGGCCTCTTTAATATACATTTCAAGGACTTTGCTCAAACAGATCCCATAATTTAGATGACACATGGATGGTCTCTTCAGAAAGACTTCCCCTGCCACTGCAATGGAAAGTGCAGAGCTTGTCTCCTGCCCTCTGCTCCCTTCTATGTCTTGCACTATTATGACACCTTTTAGGTTAGTGGTCCATCTCCCAGGCGTCCTCCAACTTTCAATCTTTAATTCTGTAAGCCACCTGCTCGGTCCCATCGCTGCCCTTGATACCTGCTCTCGTCTTACTCTGAAGCTCACTGCTCACGCCCCTGAGGTGTCCCTCTGAGCTGGCCTGCAGCTGCAGCAAGGAGATGGAGTGTACACCTCTCTGCCGAAAGAAGAGCGGTCTACGTGTGGCGTCCCTTGGGGGATCTCCCCAAACTGGCCAATGACAGTAAACTGATTGTGTCAGCTTGAGTAAGAAACGCCCGGCTAATGGGATCAGTGCAGTACTGGGTGTGAGGGTAAGGCTTTACTGGGGGCAGAAGAACCTCCTTGAGTGTGCGTGGAGGCTTGTAGCCTGGATGGAATCAAAGGGAAGTGAGGAGGAAGGCTCCTTCTGTGTCTTCGGAGGAGCTCCTGTCTTCACCTTCACCTTGGACATCATCTTCTGGCTTCCAAGATTCTTCAGCCTCCTGACATGGACTCGCAGGGGTCTCTACAGGGAGCTCCAGGCCTTCGGTCTTTGACTGGATCCTTCAGCTCTCCAGTGTGCAGACCCTTCTTCACTCTCCCACACCTGATTCTGTGGGCAGCCACTGTGAGCCCACCATGTGAACCCTCATGTATTTATATGCCTTGCATTAAATCTGTTTCTCTAGTGATCACTGACTGATACACTGGCCTATGTGTCAACTGCATGTACAACAGCCACGAGGCCAACTCTGCAGCCAAATATTATCCATGTTAAAAAAAAAAGGCAAAAAGCAGCATAAACACAGGCCTACACACAAACCACTCAATCACATGAGTCCAGCAGTGTTCTCTGACTTCTACCTCCTCTTAATAACACTTTTAACAACATATGATATGTACTATGTCCAACATTTCAGGAACTGTTGCTCCACATTCCTCTCTGAGTTATGGAAAGATTCTCCATTACAGTGAACCCTTGACCTAAGAACTCGATGCATTCCCAAGGGCTCACTGCAACTCAGGCTGTCAGTTGAAGGCTCAGGCTCTTCTACACAGCCCTCAAAGATTCTCTCCTGTACACACACAGGCAGTTTTCAGTGTCCTTAGAGAGACAGCGGCCCAGGATTTCTCTAACACCATACAGGACAGGATGTAATAATGCTCCTTCCAGAACTCTGTGAGGGTTAAAACTGTATCTGAGACCATCTGGAAACACAAGCGGCCAGTATTTGGGTCATAACTCAAGACTTTGGCTTTAAGTTAAAAATAAAATTCTGATCATGACCCAAGCTGTTCATGTCAGGCCAGTTGTAACACGAAGGTCCACTGTATTCCTTTTGAAGTCACTGACCAAGCCCATGAGCCCAATGTCACCCGTAACGTGGACATTTGGAAAGAGGTGCATGTGTGTACACTTTCATCTTAATATGTTGTCTCTAGAGAACTTGCTTTTAAACTGAACTCATCACCCAAAGAGCTCTTAAGAGCCTTCTAGTGACTGCTGATTTCTACAGTTCAATGCTACCATGACACCACAGTGTCTCACTTGTCACATCGTACATCATGAAACTCCACTAAGCCTATGACAGACCTCTTCTGATCAACTCAGAATCTTCTAGATGGCCTCCTACATCAACCTGCTGGCACATGTCCACAGACATCATCCTTTAGGCCAGACCACCTCAGAACTGCTGCGTCTCCCCACGTCAGCTGGACCATTCTGGAAACTGTTGTTCCCAAGGGTAAGGAGCGAGGCAGAGAGAGAGAGGTGTCAGCCCCAAAAGTACTCACTGAGTGGTTTTAAGATGCTACTGCTGGATTCATCTGCATTTTCCACATCCGACTTGTCAGAGTAGTTCTCAGAGACCCGCTCTTTCTCCTTCTTTTCCTTATGTCCTGTTCTTCTCTTGTGACGTCTCCTCCTCCGGTAGCTCTTGGGCACATGGACTCCAATGTAGATGGTGTGGTGGCCTAAGGAAGATACACAGATCACCGCTTACTTCAAAACGCATTCTCTTACACACACAACTCACACAGGACCCACAGTCAGAGAAGGTCTATGAACACAACATGATCATTCTACATTTGAAAAATTCATGCTGGAAAAAATAGAATTTCTTCTCATTTTTGGAGAGTGACAGTACAATTCCAACTGCTGCATGACACTCGGATTTTGTGAGTGTACACAGTGGCTCTGTCAGGTTGACTAGTTCTGTTTATGATAACCAAAGGATACCGAACTAGAAATCAGGAATCCTGGAGAACCTCTATCATCAATTACTTCTCTCACCTTCACCTCTAGGCCTCAACCTCATCATCATCTAACGAGAGGCTTAACCTGGGTAACCGGAGGCCTTTCTCACTCTAACCCGCCACAGGTCTGTCATTATGTTGATGTGGAGGCTCAGAAAGATGCCACTGAAGCCAGAAAAATAAAGCCTTATTCAAAGTTCAAAAAAGTCATTGCTGAGAATAAGGTTTAACAAGGTAACTTTTTTTTTTACCCAGTCTGCAGAAGAGAGACTTAGAACTGGGACAAACTGAGAAAAATAAGACATCCTTGGATAGGAGATTTCAGAAATACTCAAATGTTCACATTAGGAAACAGTTAAAATGAATGTCAGCTACAGTGCCATTCTCGTGTTCCTTTTTTCATTCCTAAAAGTTTCTAAAAACTGGTTGTTGCAGTGATAAAAATAAACTCAGCCCAGCAAAAATTGCCTTGAAGAGAAGGGCATGAGGAAAAAAGGATTGAAATACTTTCAGTTCTGTAGATGGAAGAAGCTGCAAAATTGACAAGTCATTTTTACAAACTCTGGTAAGACGTTAAAAAACAGGAAGACAAAATTCTACATCTTGGACTTTTTGAAAACTTTTACTTTTTGTGTTCCAAACAGCATAACTTCTGAATGTGAGAATCCTCATTTCAGAACTAGTATGACTCCTCTTTGGACTGAAAATCAGATGGGCCTGTCTCATCTACAGGTTTCCTGTCCCATCCCTAGAAGTGCTCCTCAATGACTGTGTGAGGCTGTGGACAACGCCACACACGCCAGCATGACACATGACACCATGCAGTTCCACACCCTTGGGCTACGTCTAGCCACTCCTCGGACCCATCTAAAACCCTGTCATCAGAGGGGCATTCCCCCAACCTGGCAGGGATGAAATGAATGACCAGCAGCTTCAAGAGAGTCCAGCGAAGGAAGGGAGACCTCCAAGTGAATGAGCTAGTGTTCAAAAGGAAATACAGATGCTTGGAATACAGTTGAAGGTATCTTTACATGAAGCAGAGCTCCGTATCCCCAACACACACGCACGCGCACACACACACACACACACACACACACTCACAACCCCCTACCCCCAACACACACACACACACACACACACACACTCTCACAACCCCCCACTCCCAACACACACACACACACACACACACACTCTCACAACCCCCCACTCCCAACACACACACACACACACACACACACACACTCACAACCCCCTACCCCCAACACACACACACGCACACACACACACTCACAACCCCCCACTCCCAACACACACGCACACACACACACACACATACCCACAGCCTGCTGCTACAAAGCATCATGGTATTCTCCCCACAGAAGTGTGTCAATGAGATTTTTATCATGTAGAACCATTTGTAAGCAAATTGTTCTCATGGGAAAGCTACATTATAGGAGGAAGAAGGAAATGTCTCAGAAACAATGTGAATTAAGAAACAGTGTCAATTGTTTCCTGCCCTCTGGTTACTGAGGGAGTCCTGCAGTTTTATCTCACTTCTCAACAACAGTGAGCAGAGCCAGCCAATTCCTTCAGTGGCCTAACCCTGAAGAGGAAACATTCTCTCCCTCGCTCTGACTCTGTCTGTCTGTCTCTGTCTCAGTGAGATATACACACACATATGCACACAAATTAAGAGGTTAAAAAAAATTTACAACTTGTCGCGTTAAATATTTTCTACATCATATAAAATAATGGGAATTAAGGGGAAAAGGTAATTAAGCTACACTAGTCATGTGGACATTACATGGAAAGATTTAACATATTTACCAATATTTATGCAATATGTTTGATCAAGTCACTTAAAAGACAGATATGGGCTGATAAGGTTTTACAGTAATACTTCTGACTATGAAACACTTCAACCTGGTGAGGTACAGTGATTCACCGAGTGAACCTTCAAATGCCTTATCTCTTGGCACCTAGCTTGAGGTGTCACCACGGAACAGGGCCACTTGTTCACAGGCCCCACCCTGCAGCAGATCCCTGGCTGCACCTGCCCATGCCCTGCTCCCCTCCTGCCACCTCGGCACCACGCTCCCTGGTGCCATGCGCTGGCACCAACTACAAATGGGGTTCTCTTTTCGGGCACCCTTATTGAGCTATAATTTACAAATCAGAAAATCCACTCATCTTAAGAGTGTAAGTCAAGGAAGAGTTGTACAAATATTTCCATAATCCAACTTTAGAGCCTCTCTAACAATTGGAGACAACCCCTGGCTCACCGGCAGCCACTCCGTTCCCAGCACTGCGAGGACCCCGGAAAGCCAGGGTTCTCCAGCTCTCCCATGGCTATCTGTGCTGTGTGGAGTTCCCCACAGCATGATGAAACAGAAATCCCCGCGAGGAAGACCCTGCCTCCCGGGAACTGCTAGGGGAAATGACAGCACTGAGCAGGGCCATGCAAAACTCAAAGCGTCCTCCTCCTCCCCCTCCTCCTCCTCCTCCTCCTCCCACCTATTAATGGGAACTAAATTTCCCTCTTCAGTCTCGTGTTCAACTAGAGAAAGAAGTTATTCCAGGGTTAACAAAAATGTTGGAGATCAGAAACCATGCTGAGTGCTTTATCAATTACTTAACTGCTGTCCACTTCAGCTTTTTTCTCCATGGCCAGAGAGCAAGACAGCCTCGTTTGGTGGCTGGTGATGGGGCAGGCATGCTTTTTCAGAGTGATGGCCCGGTGGTAAAGCCATACGTGCCAAGCAATAGGAGCAACAAAAGCCAGGTGAGCTGGATGGAAGCATCATTACTAACCCCACAGAAGACCTGCCTTCACAAGCAACAGGACCAGCATTACCACTGAAAATGTTCCCATTGAAATATCATTGAAATATCTTTCCATGTCTCAGAGATGTGTCATGGAGATGGATGGCTATTTTTAAATTATAATTCAAACTCAGGGGAGCTACAAATGCTTAGGGTATGGCATTGTTTTACACGTAAAAAGAAAAAGAAAAATCTGGCAGCCAAACCATCCAACCCTGTGCGTATATAAAATAGTAAGATGTTCAAAGAATCAGGGATAGTTTTTTGCAAGGGAATTCTTTTATGCTCAAAAAAATTTCTCTGTTAGAAATTCCAGGAAAAACTGCTTCCAGAGATAATGAAAAATCAAAATGTTCTTAAACAGCTATAACTCATAAGGAACAGGTGATTGTTTTAAACGCTATTGAATTGTTGCTGCTAAGAACTATAAAGTAAAATTACTGGAATCCACACATTTAGGTGTGCAGGCGAAGAGTGTTCCTCAGTTTGGCAAGATCCTCCATGTCATGTGTTCAAATAAATACTCTACAGCACACGCCTCGCTCTGACAGACAGTGTGGACTCCAACCAGCTCGAAAGGTTTGGGGAGTATGTCTCAATCCACACTGCAGCCAGGACCCTATGAAGAAACACGGCTTTTCAGTTTACCTCTAAATGTCAAAAATAATCACTATGTGGTTCTTGCTTCTCCCCATTTCCACCTGGTTGCAAGCAGGCAGAACCAGGAGGCTGTCATACGCAATCCTGCTGCTGCTGAGGGTACCTGACCCTCATGGTGGCCACACTGCATTTCTTGGCAAACACAGAATTCTTAACACTTAACTGTGTGTTTGCCATTCAGGCCAAGATAGCTCACACAGGCACCAGTTTTGCCATCAATGATTTAGAACTTAGAAAAATTACACCCATCATGGTAGAAAATGAAATATTTACTGACCAAATTAAAAATTCTATAGACAACTTCAAATTTTTTCCATCTTCTTTCCAAACAAAATTAAAGAAAAATGGAAATATAATTTTTGTAAACAGGAAGGGGACCAAGAACTGGAAGGAGCAAGGAGGGATGGAAGGGGATGAAAATAAGAAGTGAGCTGCGTCATATCCAAGTGTCTACTCCCATGATAAACATAACCCTTAGGTGCTACAAACAAAGACTATGTTTTTTTCATCCTGTAGGTGACCTGATGGTGAATACTATATCTCTATGTATGCACAATGACTCCATTAGCTCCTTACTAGTAAATGTACTGCTGTGTTTACTGTACACACAGATGACAGCAACCACTTAAGATTAGGGGAAGGCAAAGGTGTCGCCCTCAGCTAACCCACTATGTCTTATCCATAAAATCCACAGGAGAAGCACCTCTTGGATATTACTAGCAAAAAGGGTTGTGTCTCTCTGTCACTCCAACAGCCTTCTGTAACACAGTCTGTATTTACACTGAACAGCGTAGGGTTAGTTATGTCTCCTTCCTTGTGATGACCATTGAGCAGAGAAGAGACAGATTCTGGGCCGACCTGCAGCGATTATACGATCTCATGACATCCACTGTACACACTAACCTCACACTTTAATTTTCCAACTTGTCATTTCCACTTCAAACTTGGCAGTTTTGGAAGGAGGTGGCATATAAAATATTTCAGTTTGAGCTTGCAGTCATGTGCTATCACTAAGGATAGGTGAAATCTTGGCCCAGAAATCAACCTTCCCACCCCAGCCATCTCACCCTCTCTCCGCCCCCAGCTCCTCCCGATGCATCACTAGCTCAATACTGAGTGACGGCCCAAATGTGGCTTAGATCTTTATTGCTGTTCTTTCTATAACCCACTAAATTCCTGTTCTCTCCAGTTTACAGCAAAGATTCCATCAACAATAGTCCCAAAGTATAAGTTAA